GTCCAAATTGGGCCCAAAGTGTCAATATTTTGTGTGGCCACCATTATCTTCCAGCACTGCCTTAACCCTCTTGGGTATGAAGTTCACCAGAGCTTCACAGGTTGCCACTGGGGTCCTCTTCCACTCCTCCATGACGACATTATATATATATATATATATATATATATGTCTTTAGAGATCTAGATTGAGCATTGGAGCTTAAGATATATTAAAGTTATTTGTTTATGTCGTATTCGCAAGGATAAAGCACTCAGCCTTCTGGTTAGAGATCAAAAACTTCTGTATATATTAGCGAAACAATTGAAAGACTGTTGTATTATTATTCATTTTGTTTTCTTGTTTGTTTTCGAAATTAGATAAAGCAGCACTAGGCGTCTATTTTTGTACAGTTTAGGGTAACAGAAAACTGCACCACTGCCTTTAATCCGCCCAATGACTGGATGCCGAATGAAGCCAATGAAAGGAATGGAGGAAGGGAAGGAGCGATGTGATTGGGTGGATGAATGAAGGACTGGAATAGTGGATCTTATTTGTGTTGCTTATGACTGTGAGAGTTTACGAATGCATCACTGTGGTTATTTATTCAACCTGTTTGATTCTGAATCATTTTTAATCGTTTGTTTACCAAAGCTTTGATGCTGTAGCCCTGTTGATGCGCATAAATCGGCTCTCCTGGAGGATTTATAAAGACTTAATTCATAAAACCTCAAACTTTTGGCCCATGACTTTGAGCTTTTTTTTTTTTTTTGTATGTCTTAGAATTAAAAAACTTCCTTAAACTCATTTATTATTACCAGAAAAGAAAGTGAATGGTTGCATTAGGTTTATAGATCGAATTTGTTCTGTTGCAAGTTGCCGCCTTTGTTTGAAATCAAAGTGTCCCATCCCTCCACCAAGTTAAGTAAAGCTTATTCAATGGAAATGTAGGGTATACTTGTCTTTTCACGTTGAAAGACTTCTGTCAAGGCTCAGATCTCAAGAATCTTTTAAAGTGGTTCTGTTTTTGTTTTCTTAAATGAAAGCCAATGCTGGACGTTTGCTTTCAAGTTGAAGTGCATCACCAGTGCCTTTAACATATTTAATAACCGGTTTAATTACATCATTTTTAGCACCTCTAGCTCTAATAAGGAAAGTATTCATCTCAGTATGATGCTGAATGTAATGAACCTGATATCCAGAAGCACTTCTGCGGTCTGATGGCATTTTTCGCGGGCATCTGTACTCTCTTTGATGTCTTATAATTTATCATATCTGTCATGCTTTGAACTTTCACTCCTGCTGCAAAAGTTGTTTCTTCATATTTTACCGCATTGTTTTTTTCACCGCCCCCGTTTTTTGTATACTTTTCAGGTTATTCTCAATCTAGGGTTACTTCACACCTGTCTGAGCTGTGTCTAGGATTTCTCACCCCCCTCTCCATCTGAATGCTCAATTGTTTAGTCTCTCTTCAGTGATTTAGACATGGCCAGAGACGTTGCTGACACAATGCTCCTCAGGCCTTTTACTGTAGGATTCGCTTGCAGCTGCTGTACGGCGCTCCTGGAGTGTAAAAGAATATGGTTTTACTCTGAAAGGTGAGCTGACCGAGGTGTTACTCCACTAATCTGCATTGCTATTAGTGCTGCTTTAATCTGTGTTGAAGTTTTCTTTGCTGAGATATAGCGATGGCTGGATCATAATGAGTGCTGCCTGTTACAGTGATTTATCTTCCAGCTTGAGCCAAAATGTTAAACTTGCAAGATCAAAAGGTGGAATGAAAGGAATTTACCCAAAGGAGTGTTTTTGTTTTTTTTGTTATTTTTTGTTAACATTCTCACTTTTTGAGTCCTTCATTTGATCTGATGCATTCTGTATGCTAGACCAGTGAATCTCAACCTTTTGGTGCACCGGACCCCAGTCCAATTCAGAACCATCCTCAAGGACCCCCAGAACAAAACTGACTCATCTATGTATCATTTGTGTCTTTGTGAGGACCAAATGCAGTCAAGTATAATTCAAGTTAGTTGACCATATCATCATGGCCATTATATCATCAGCTATATTGGATTTTTCTTTCATGGGAACATGTCATGTCAAAATATACAAAATGTATACAAAAATTCATACTTTATACGGACCCCCTGGCCTTACGTCAAGGACCACTAGGGGTCCACGGACCCCTGGTTGAGAAACACTGTGCTAGACCATTTCATGATACAAACATCAATGGAAAGGGATGAATGTCAAATTAAAGTGAAGAAACCATAATTATTGTGAACCAGTCTCTTCTCCATTGACATTTTGAAATCTGTTTTGGGACTTTAGTAGTCATTAAAGCAATAAGCCACTAGAAAGCTCTGTTGTAAATGTAGGTGGTTATCAGGGTGTTGCTATGTGTTGTTTTTGATTGGTTTTTAGCATTTTTGCTATGCAATTGTTATTGTATGGTAGGTAAAATTGTATACTGTTTAAACGTTTGGGTAAGCGAGATTTTATAAAGAAATAACACTTTTATTAATTAAGGATGCATTAAATTGATCAATAGTTCCAGTAAAGACATTTATTATGTTGCAAAAGATTTCAGTTTCAAATAAATGTTGTTCTTTTTACTTTCTATTTATTAAATAATCCTGTGAAAACTATGTTTCCACAGAAATATTAAGCAGCACAACTGTTTTCAACATTAATAGTAAGAAATGTTTCTTAAACAGCACATCAACATTAGAATGATTTCTGAAGGATCATGTGACACTGAAAACTGGAGTAATGATGCTGAAAATTCAGCTTTGAATCACAGGAATACATTTTCAAACAAAAATAGAAAACGGTTTCAATTGTAATAATATTTCACTATATTACAGCTTTTACTGCATTTTTGATCAAATAAATGCAGCCCTGCTGAGCAGAAGAGACTTCTTTCAGAAACATTTAAAAGTCTTACAGAACCCAAACTTTAGAATTGTGATTCTGATCATTTTGAAGAGTAATATCACACTTCTCAATGAGCAATAGTAATAGCAAACTGTTTACAGTTATCAAACAACACGACAGCTAGGAGTATTAATATAAAAACTAATGTCAGTACCAACTCCTTTCCAACAAAACAGTCCTTTTAGGATTGTAGGTTTGATACACTTTCCTGCTACAGCAGAGTGAGGTTGAGATCAGTCTTATGTAATGAACAGGCCCTAATTAGTGCTGGATTTGAAATCTGAACAAGCTGTAATGTTGACGTCAAGTTTGTGTGGACTTGTGAGAGGTGACAGAGCTGTGTGTGTGTGTGAGTTAGTGAGTGAGAGAGAAACATCTCTCCATGTTTAGACATCATCATCATCTGCTACTCTCCCTCATGTCTGTAGTCATGCTGAAGCCACAAACGACATGGAATGAGTTAGAAAAATAAGAATGTTCAAAAGGAAATGCGTGTCCCTGTTTCGTTTACTGTACAAACTATTTTAATTTATAATCCATACATTTGTATATATGCTTAAAAATAATGAAAAATATGTATATCATTTAGAATTTTATGTAATTTTTAAAAAATAATTTTAGTTAAGTTAGATTTTCTTTACTTAATATTTACTTGTTTACCTGTATTATTTATTCATGTCTAGGGTTAGTGTCAGGATTTAGCATTTACTGCATTTACTTACAATTGACATTAATTTACTTCACTTAGGCTATGTACTTTATTTACTAGTCAAGTCAAGTCAAGTCACCTTTATTTATATAGCGCTTTTAACAATACAGATTGTGTCAAAGCAACTGAACAGCATTAATTAGGAAAATAGTGTCAATAATGCAAAATGACAATAGTAAACACAAATTTTTCAGTTAAAGACAGTTCATCATTGAATTCAGTGATGTCAACATCCAGCTCAGTTTAAATAGTATCTTTGCAATCAAGTCAACGGTATCGCTGGAAATGAAGTGTCCCCAACTAAGCAAGCCAGAGGCGACTAGTCGACTGCGGACCTGATTGACAACCAGAGCAAGATCATTTTATTCAATAGAAATTAAAATTGATTTGTTGTCTCTTAAAATGTAATTGCATATGCCTGCAAAATGTTTATTTGCTCAACTTTTAGGAGTCCCAGGATTCCCACAGTCCAGGGTCATTTTAAAACTGTGACGGGGTTACAAAGATCATGGGAACATTCTAAAGCATTCAA